CAGCTATAACTTCGGAACCATAAGTCACATAAGCGTGAAATTTGGTATGCAGACATATTTATGGTACATACATACATAGGTACTTACAGTAAGGTATACATAAATGAGTTTGTTTGCTGCCACGCCCATCTCATAGGCGTGGAATTTTTGATCACCCATAACTTTGGAACGATAAGTCACATAAACGTGAAATTTGGTATGCAGACATATCTATGGTACATAGCTGCTTATAGTAAGGTATGTTTATATAAATAACTTTGTAAAAGGGGGTGTAGCACATAACACAGGCGTTGAATTTTGAATCAGCCATAACTTCGGAACCACAATTTACATGGCCCCTTTAATTCTTTCTTTTGCAATGACTATAAACAAGAATTCGTTAAAGCAAAACCCAAAACTTTATCGAAAAAAAATCTATGATAATTTGAAGTATTAAAAACATGTTGTAAAATAATATTAGAGTTATTATTCTAAAGAAATTAGATAGCTAAAATTTTAATATTACAACATTCGTATTTCTACTATTACTTACATACATATATAACTTATTGGAGATATTTTAATGTAATTGGAGATATTTTAATGTAAATTAAAACACCTGCTGTGCCAAAAAGTTATTATTACATTTCATTACATAACACAAGCTATACAACTGTCCTTCCATAATCTCCTACAGTAAAATTAGAGCAGAAATAAAATATAACCTCTACATAAATTATTGTTCATATTTGTATAAAGACGTAGGGTGAAACCCGCGGGTAAAACTAGTAGATATATAAAATTTAACAACAAATAAAGAAAAGATAAACTCAAGGATATTGCACGAGTAAGTTAACCTTTGTGTCCAATTATAAAGTTAATTGTCAAACATGTACGGCTTGACATAAATCAGTTCTCAATACTCCAGATTAATTACTTTAACTATTTTACTACACTCTAGATCAGTCATGCACACGTAATACTATGTTCACGTTGAGCCATAAACTCGAGTTTAACGTTCTGTGTTTATAAAAAACTTTCAAGTGTTCTCATTAGGGTGTTTAAGAAACTCGGAGTTTAATTTATCCACATTTGGGCTTCTCCCGTACTCCAGGATTTAGACAGAAGTAGTCTGAAGTATTCGTGGTCTAGAATACCAACCGTTTAGCTATAAAAAAAGGAAAATGTGGATCGATGGAACATTTCATACTGATTTCAACCAAATCAAGATTATTTGGAATAAATAAAAACCAAAGCCAATAAAAGAGGTTAAAGCTAAACTTTTATATTCATAATATCTCGATCAATCACAAAAGCATTGAAGCTAATTTAAAGGTAATTTAAATACCTTTTACTCGACATTATAACCCTCTTTAAAACAAATTTTAAATAAACGCCATATTTTTTCTTTTA